ATATATGTTAATAAAAAAAAATAATTTTATATAAATATTTGTAAAATAAAACATAAATAATCCAAATAAATGATAAAAAAATTTACTGAACAGAAGTAGAAGCTTTAATTTTTTTAACTGTAAAATATTGAAAAATTATACTTTCAATTTGAAAAAATTCGGCAAAATTAACATAAACTTTTTGAATAATTAAACATTTAAATTGGCAATCACGTACTTTATTTTAATAATAATAAACTCTTAAACATTTTTCTTCCCAAATTAACTACATTTATATTAAGGTTATACTACGTACTTACTTTTATTATATACATATGTATATCTATTAGTTTATATTAATTAGTAACTAATTTTGAATTATTGTCGCTTTCACAAGCAGTTTATTTACTTTACTTTTAAGCATAAATTTATATTTAATATATATTATTTAACTTCATATATACGTACTATATGTATATATTGTATGTGAATGTTCATTACTGAATGTGAGTATTTTCGTAAATTTTTCTAATATAATATTCTAGAATGATTATTAATAGTAGTGGGAGGATTAGTTAGGAATTTAAAAGCCCACAAAGATTTGTAAGCAAGCTAAACCTCTTTTACATCTATGAGGTGGATTTCAATAAATTTCGCTTTCTTTTGGCTAAACGTTGTTCGAAAGGTGTCTTTTTTTTATTTATTTTTTTTAATACATATTTGATGTGCTAATCACTTATTTACATGTGCGTTTATACTAAGTTTTTTATATATGTATGTATATATTTTGTGCTTATTTTATATATAACTTACTTCATACGGTTCTTTTCTGCGCTGTACAAATTACTTGAATAAGAATTGACTCTTTTAGTTTGAAAATGTTCACATTTCATACAAAATTGTGTTTGTTATAGTATATTTATGCATTTATTAATAGCTAGAGATGAGATTTATAACGAACAAACGTATATAAGAATATTAAATCTTAAATTACAATGAAATAATATACGTTAAATTGAGATGAAATTAAAATTATTTAGAAAAGAAATTAAACCTAAATTATTAAAATTAATTATAATAAAATAAAATAAAAAAAAGAAATTAATTATAATGAAATAAAATAGAAAAAAGAATTACATAAATGTAAATTAATTGAAATGGACTAAATAAAATTAGATTAAAAAAATGAAACTAAATTAAATTAACTGATCAAAAATGAAAAAAAACACAAAGAAATGAAACACAAAGATAAATTAAAAAAGACAATCAAAAAATAAAGTCATCTTAAAGCAACTAAATTAAAATTAAGAAAAATGGAATACCAAAGAGCAATGTAAAATAAAAAATTTATAAATATCAAATAAATGAAACGTAATAGAAATTAAAATAAATAAAAATAAAAAAAGAAAATTAATAATCTAAACTAACTAAAATAGGATAATATAAAGTAGAAAAAGGCAAAATAGTACAAAAAAAAATTAGATAAATAATTTTTTTAAATAATAAAGAAAAAATAAAATGTGATGGAAATAAATAAAATAATACAAATTTATGAAAAAAATAAAACAAAAAATAAAATTTAAAAAATAAAACAAAATAAGTTAGTTAGAATACGAAACAAATTAAACGAAATAATATCAAAGGACAACTCTGACGATAACCGGTCCTAAGCAGAAGTTGCCCCGAATTTTATACGCTGTCACCCTTCCGGGCGTTTCAATCATAAAACAAAAGGAAATAAAGTTGAATTAAATAATTAGATTAAATTATCTTCAAATAAATTAGCATAAAGTTAACAGAACAGAGTACAGTTAAGAAATCTTGTATTTAAATAGATTTAAATAAAATAATTTGTAAAATAAATATTAATCAAATATACGCAAATAAAAGAAAATTAAATTCAATAAGCTGAAGAAAAGAATATAAAATAAAGTAAAATAAATAACAAAAAAATAAAATAAAATAAAATGAAATAAAATAAAATAAAATGAATAATAATAATAAAATAAATAAAATAAATAAAACTAAAATAAAATGAAATAAAAAAGATAAATAAAAATAAAATAAAATAAAATTGTTATGTATACAACAAAATGGAATATAATAACATGAAGTAAAACAAAATAGCATAAATAAAATAAAATGCAAATGAAATATATTTAAATTGAAATAAAATAAAATATTACATAAACAAATAAAACAACAAAAGTTACAATAAAAAAAGAAATAAAATAAAATTATATAAAATAAAAAAGGTGGAATAAAATTAAATAAAAAATTAAACTGAAAGCAAAACAAAACTAAATAAAATGTGAGAAGTAATTAAATAAAATATCAATAAATTTTTCTAGTATTACGTATGTAAGATCCTCTAATTAAATTATATATATATTTTTTTACTAGATATTTTAATTACAATATAATAAAATATTTTCTACTGAGTTTTTAAAAATTATTTATTTCACTATAGTAACAAATAATTAATTGCATAATTTTTAACAAGTCGATAGCGCAAGAAAAAATATTTAAGGGATATTTAAAAAAAAAATTTCCAGCAAATAAATTTAAAATCATAACCTTAAGTTTAACAAATAGAATCCTTAAAAATTTATAACTACTACTTTAACACTTAATACAACATTAAAAACTTAATAATAGAATTTACAATAATTTACATTATTAATTTGTATATATTTTTTCTTGCTGCTACACTCTCTTTTTCTTTTTTAACAATTTCATTATATGTATATATATATATATATATATTCAATGTATTTATGTTTAAGTATATTTGTTTGAAATTTTTAACAACAGATTTACAATTATTATTGTAATTTAATTTCTATACATTTGTTCAGTTTGCTCACATTCTATTGTTTGCATTTGTCTACATTGAGAATATCATTAACGGTAATAATTAAAAAACACATCAATACAATTTTTGTTTTCGTTAAATATTTCGTTTAAAAAGAATACATAGATGATGCATAAATTATTATATGATATTTTTTTTTATATATGTACATTTTTGTATGCAAAATTTATCTAAGGAAATAATTGATTTTTCGGCACTGAGTTTTTGATAATGTCATAAAGTTTACTGCATTCAACAAAATGAGAAATTTATTCAAAACAAATGAATTGCAAAATTTAAATACATAAATTTCTTCTTTTTTTTCAATTTAAAACTTTGTTTCACATATACTAAATAAACTTCATCTGACGTCAACAAAATAGCTGATATTGTCAAACTCTCTGCAAAATGAAACACATAAGACAATGACAGCGCTTTTAGTTGGTGGCAAAAAGCTTATGAAACATTTTTCGGGCAACAATTTTCAAATGCAATGTTTGACTTTCCTGTTGTAAACAAAAGAGAAAAATTTTACAATTTTTCATACATTACTTAATAAAATTTTTTATTTTTATCGTCACTTGAATTTAAGTGGTTTATTGTGGTCCATAAACATTCCGTTCTTATATTTCACTCGCTCTCGTTTTCTAACCGCGTCTGTCAAGAAAAATCTTATTGCTCGTTCCAAGTTACTCTACCAAAAAATCAGAGCAGAAAATCCTGATCTCAGTTGCTATATTTCTGCTTAGAGCAGACTCATGAAATAATAAGTAGAGCAAATAAGAGCAAAAAATTTTTCATGAAACACATTTTTTTGAATTTTTTTTTGAAGTAGAGTAACCTGGCGTAACCTAGAGCAGCTCAATATACAAACCTAATGAAATCAAGTCAATTAAGGAAAAACTCACTTGCTCAGAGCTACTTCTAGAATATTTTCTTCGAAATGAAAACATTTCCTGCATTATAAAAACTGAGTTGAAGCTCTCCGTCTTTGAGTGAAATTTTTGGTATATTAACCACCGCTAATGCAGTAAGTTGCTCATCATCATTCTCTTGTTCGATGAGCTGATGGGCGGTACCGACATCCGGTGAGGCTAAAAGCTGATAAAATTTGCACCAATACAGCAAAGTTTTGACATCTCATTATTAGACATTTCTAACAGTAGAGTGTTATTATCTCTAAGCTCTATGAATTGCAAAGATTATTTATTTATTTATTATTAATAAAAGAATATTTACTTAATCAATAACGTCTTGCTACAATTACTGTACAATTTCATTCGCTTACGTCATACATTTGAAATTTTCAACTGGTTTATTTATTTACACACCTTTATTTAGGGAGAGTTAAAAAGTATTCAGTGCAGAATTTCGGTAATAAAATTGTAATTGCAAAAAACTTTACGAAAAATTAAAAAAAAAAGATAACAGTTTTATATACTTATTTATATTGCGTTTCAATACATATAACTTTAGTCAGATTCTTCAAAAATAAAATATTTCTCGTGTATTCTAAAAAATTTCACAAATTTGTAATAATAATTTATTAATTAAATATATGCTTTATATAGTTAGCAACAATCCGTAACAACATTAAAAATTTTATGTAGTAAACAAAATTTTTAATTAAATACAAGTACATATGTATGTTTTTAAAACGATTTTATGCGCATTTGTAGTTTTTTATTATTTTTATTTTTCGTTTTCTTTAATAAATATTGAATTTTAGCTTCCATAACCTCACTTTTTGTTAAACATTCTTAAGGTGCTTACCCATATAATTTCAGTATTCTATTTTTACTTAAACATTTTTTTTTATTTTATTTCTTATTTGAGTAATAGTTGTTGTAGTGTGACATTTCGTTAATATATTTAATGTAATTTATGTGTTATTTCGTACTTTCGGTTGCCATGATTTGTAAGTGATTTCAAAACAAATATAAAATAAAATGAAATAAAAAAATAATATTATATTTATTACAACGGAATAAATATGGTGTAGAGAATTAGTTCTTTATTTAAAGAGTTCTGAACTTTTATGAGTTTCAAGTTTTCATTATTTTATTTTTTATTTTTTATTAATTGTCTAAATTTTCAACTGATTTTCATTTAATATGGACCCCTTTCACTTCAAAACATATATATATATATTTTTTTTTATTTGTTATGAACATTTATTTATATATAATCTTATTAATTTAATTACTATTTAATTTTAACTAAATTTTGCTTTATTCTCCCACCACTGCTAACTGCCGAGCTGAGTCGAGTTATGCCATTCTACTGTGTTTGATAGGGTTGTTGATAATTTGCTTGTTGTTCTTGTTGTGTATATGGTTGTTGGTATTGTTGATCATAGCTGGGCATTTGCGGTTGCTGCTGTTGTTGTTGTTGCGTATAATCATATGCACCATAAGTGTTGGTAGCATCAACTGTTTGTTCGGGCATAGCACTCTCCTCGGGTATTGTGCTCGACATGGCGGCGAAGGGATTGTTAGCCACGTGACCAGTCGCACCGTAATTGATGGCATTCGGTTGTTGCATTTGACTTTGTTCGGTGTACTGTGGTGGTGCGACACCCTTTTTTTAGCCGAAAGCAGTAAACAGACGATGTAAAGACAAAAAAGGTAAATTATAATGGAAATGCATTAAAAGGCAATTCTGGTGTGGAAAAAATGTGAGAAAATGGCACGAGCTAAAGTTAATGCCCCTTTTGTTATGCCAAATGCATATTAATATCGTGTTCAATAAAAATGTATAAAACACGCATTAAACATAAAAATCTTAACAAATAAAGCATTTTAATATCTTTCATTCAGATTATATTATTGCCATTGCATGTCAAATTCACTTATCGTTTTATTATCAACAATATTATTTAATTACTTGCTTTTATCTCTGAAACTTACAAATGATGTCTCTGTGGTGTAACCTGCTCCTGGCGGCAGATACGCTGCGTCAACTGGTGGCGCCCACACTTGCTTCTCCTCGTTCGGTGGCTCGGCCCAGGGTTGCAGTTCACCTGATGCAAAGATACCGTAGAAAGTGCAACCAACTAAATGAACGCAGGCAGCAAGCGTGAAAACGGTCGTCCAACAGCCTGTAGGCTAATGAGTGTGTAGAAAAAGAAGAAGAAAGTAGCGTTAATTGAGATTTTTATAGCGAAAAAGAGTTCCAGACGCCACCCCTAACTTTATTGCGTAATAATTTCAATAGCCTAAACGGGGGATGTAAGTCTAAGGGGTGCTGGATCCCTATTACTTTAACTACGAAGCCAACAGGCCATCCTAGACAACTCCTAATATAAATGTGTACATTTGGTTGCATCCAATTCAGTGATTCCCATCGCGTTTGCTCAGACGAAACTACGAAGCAATTCCGTCTAAGATCCTTAATTCTCTTAGTAGCCTCTAAAAATACCTGCCAAATGTTCGGAGTCAAGTTTGGAAGTGACCTAAGGAGAGTTCTTAAGCCGCCATCTCCTCAGCATACCATATACTTGTGCTCTAATTCAAGGACTGGGGAGCATGATCATTTCCTTGAAGCACTTTCCAAAACAAGAGGCCGATACGAAAGTATAGACCTGACCACGAAGCCTGTATATTAGAAGTTTACCAACCCCATTTAAGAGCATGGTAGATCAGTCTAAGTCGTTGAGGTCCAGGAAATGAACTGTTTAGACCGGTTCGGACCAAGAGGCAAAAGGGGGACAGATGAGTTGGTTTTAGGCGAAATACAAAGAGGTTGTTAGCGCTGACTCATTGCAAGAAGCACCTACGTTAGACATGGAGAACGCTATTCGCAGGAAGACATTTCATAAAAGGGTTTACGGACTCTCGGTGAATGGGATTCAACGCCGGTTTGTACGCTGTCCTGTCCAGCGTTTGTTGAATGTGGTGCTGATTGTAATCCTTTAGGTACTCCCTTTGTGATGTGCCTGGGCCGTGAATCTCCTTCTAATAAAAATCTGTCCCAAGAGAAATTACAGTAATTATTCCTTAACACTGGTCGCCAATCAGCTGGCATAACCTATCCTTTAATTGAAACTCTGCCGGAAATTGTCTAGGTACCCACTATATATCCAATAACAGAAAATTTCTGAAAATACCATGGTGATCTTGCCTCCATAAGCAAACCAACTTACATCTCTATCAATCAAATTATCCAATGCATAGGGCACAATTATGCCAGCCAAAGTGCCAATACCATTTGAAAGACCCATCAAAATACTAGCATAACGTGGAGCAATATCCAGATGATTTACATTGTAACCCGAAATAGCAAACCCGCTGAAGGCAACACCACAGGTGAGCGCAAACATGGCGCCTGTCTGAAAATAATAAGACAAAAAAAATAATAAGAAACAAATTATCACAGCAAAATCGCAAACAAGCCATCATCCAATCAACTTACCGCCGTATCAGAATGTGCGACGAACAAAAAGAACAGACCCTCCATGCCGAAACCGCCACAATTGAAGAGCTTACGCACATTCGTAGTCGACATAATGCCATTCTTACGCAGATGATCCGCCAACATGCCACCAAATGGCACTATGGTTGTCATAATGAGATGAGGCAATGAACCGATAAATCCGGCCTCCTCGACCTTAAAACCGAATTTATGCTTGAGGAATGACGACTGGAAGAGTACGAGCAGATAAAAGTTCCAAGAACGACAGAAATTCGCTACAATTATAGCATAGACCGGCATGGAACGCATCATTGCATGCCAGGGTGTTGTACGCAAATTGGGCATGCTGGGCTGCATAGAGGTCTCACCCAACGATTTCTCGATGTACTTCAATTCCGGTATGCTAATGGCAGGATGTTTGCGGGGACTCTCAAAACAGAGCCACAACCAAAATAGGTACCTGGTGGTGGGAAAGTGCAAACAGATGCAGTATACAGTGAGTATGAGTATAAATAAATTTTCTTCAGATATGAAAATAAAGTGTTATTAATATTTCAGTTATACCAAGTTATGCCAAACATGCCGTAAGCGTAGAAGGGCGCCTGATAGCTAATCGCATCGGCCAACAAACCGGACAGCGGTAGACCCACAACAACGCCGGCATATGAACCGCTGAATGCCAAAGTTGCCAGGCGTGAACGCTCCATGGGTGGCGCCCAAAATCTCCAGATACCATGACAAGCCGGATAGGTGACACCCTGTGTGTGTGGAAAAGAGGTATAAAAAAAATGTGCAAAAATAATTTACATTCATGAGACACAAAAGGATAGACAGTATTAATGTGAATGAAAAGCGACTTGACCATGGATAAAAAGTTCATTGTCACTAAAGGATCATAAAAGTAAGTATGGCACATTTATTATTTTCTCTTGTTATTATAATAAATTCTTTACTATGATTTGCAAGAGCAAAAATACTGAGAAAACAGGAAACGTCGGATTCACGAATGATAAAGCTTTGTTAAGGATGGCAACAAAAAAAAAAAAAACAAATAAATAAATGAAATAAAAAGAAAAAATATCGATTTACTCATCAAAAGATGGCAAAAGGATTTATTTGTTGGCAGCAACAACCCTCAGCGTGCGCCCGAAAGCAGATTACATCATGTTTTCATTTTCGTAGCAACGCAACAACAAAACAAGCGCATTAATAATATGAAAAGGAAGCTTAAATTTATCCATGTGTGCTTCAGCACAAGCGCACATATGTTCCACAAGTACAATATATATACACATTGCACAGTATTTGGCTGTGCAATTGCAAAACTTTCATATGATTCAATTTCATTTTGAATGCCTCTAAATTATACGCCTGATGAGCTATACACGTAGGCAAATTCGCAAAATCACAAGTAGCTTTGATCTGCTTAACGCAAATCGAATTTCATTCAATACGCTCCACTTCCTCTTCTCACTGCTGCCATAAATAGTAGATATCTTTGTGACAAATATTGTTTGCCATTCAGTCATAAATGAGCAGCAGATTCCGTTCATAACACACTGACTGACTGACTGATTAGTGGGTGCACTACTAGATTTCATATGCATTTTTACTCACCTCGAAAAGGCCCTGTACCACACGTAGTCCTATCAGCACATAACCATGACAGAGAGCCATCACTACGGGCACGAACAAATGCAACGTTGCCGAGCAAACAATCGACAAACCGAAGATTCGGTTAGCCGGAAATCGCGATGCTATGAAACCACCCGGTATTTGTGTGATTAAATAGCCCCAGAAGAATGATGAGTCGACATGGCTCTCCACGGCGACACTCCAATTCATAAAATGTGTCTGAAAATAAATAAATTATTATGTAAAAAATTTCATTTATTTTTTATTTAAACAATAATGTGAGGAATTATTTGAATTGAAATAATTTACTATAAAATTTACGCTGAGTCCAAAGAGGGGGTCATCGGCACAACAGTCGGCTTCGCTGAAGCTTGAAAGATGGTTGTTTGTAATACTAGATTCCAGCACAAAAAAATTCATCACGTCACCTTGATTGCTAAGATCGAAAAACGGAGGATTATTCTCAATCTCCTTTATAGATCATATTGAATTTATGAATGGAACACTTCTGCAGCCGGCTGCTGAAATTCATTGAAAGGAAAATACCCAGAGTTCGTAGAGTAATGCTCCTTAATAATTCAAATAAGGTCCCATCGAGCGTTCTGGATGAAATTTTGAAGCCCACCATCAACTATTTGATTGGCCTTAACAGCGTGGCTTCAGAGTTGGGAAACTTATCAAAAGACACGTGAAAAGAGAACCGAAACACCACCTCTTCATAGTTTTAAAAGTGGCCTTCGATAGCACTTACTCCCTATATGTTTAACACTGGAGAAACTACTTAGAGCAGTAGATCCAAATAGAGAAAGAACAACCCTTTATAAGACCTTCTGCTTTTTCTCGACGAGATAAGAAGATGCGTCTGGGTCTGGAAATAAATAAGGAAAATACAAAAATTTGAACAACCCGCGTCTTTCCTCCCTCGCTACTTTTATAGCTTAGATATCGTAGTTAATTTTGTATTTTTAGGAACCAGACTTCAAATACAATGCAGAATAGTTCTTGCTAACAGGCATTATTTTGGACTGAATTGACAATTCTCTCGACGAACCAAACTCTGCAATCGCTTATCCTTCTTGTCCCCAACAACACCTAAAGAAATTTTTCGGTAGAAAGTTTTGCGGAAGATTTATGGAACTTTGAGTATTGCAAACGGCTAATACCGCAGGCGATGGATGGAAAGATGGGCTGTATTAGATATTCGACGGCATGGACATAGGTTAGCGAATTAAGGAACAACCCATACGCTGTTTAGGATTAGATAAAAACACTCCAGCTTTGATAGTTTTCAACGCAATACCCAGTGGTGGCAGCATTCATGAGAAGAGGAAGCCACCACAACATTAATAAAATCAGTTTTAAAAGGTCTTGGTCTCGCTTGGTGTTTTCAATAGAAGTGCTTTTGTTGACCCGACTATAATCACGTAAGCGCAGCCTACGCCAACGCAGGTGCAGAATACAGTAAACTGCCTCGCCGATTTCTCCTACGTAAGTCCCTGACCACCCTTTTCACCAGCTGGACGTGGGAGTACCGGTTCGAGCTCGATGTCAAAATCGGAAGTTACTGGAAAATATACTCGCAGCCTGCATTCCTGCCCTCCGCATACGCAATACACATCAAGGACAGAGTCGCAACGAAATCCTCAAAGGGTTAATCCGCAGTACCAGGGGGAAAAGACAAAGGAACCTTGCTCGTAACTTTAAAGGAAATCGGCCGGCAAGTCGAAAACTGTGGTGTATGCATTAATTCGATGCGTGCGGGTGTTTTTTTTTTATCGAACTTATTGTGGAAAAACTTTCGACTTTATTGTGAAAAAATTATTTTAATCATCTGGAAACAGTTACTTGAATATCTCCTAATACTTTTGCAAGTTCTTCTTGCCTCTGGCATGCATCTGCGTCGAGCAATGTCTCCAATTCTTCGTCTTGAAATTTTTTTGGCTGTCCGTCGTGTAAAGCGAAATTGCCACTTTTAAACCGTGCAAACCACTTTTGGCACGTTCGTTCGGCTAAAGCATGGTCACCATAAACGTTCAGTAAAATACGATGGCTTTCGGTAGAACTTTTCTTCATGTTAAATTTCGACATTTAAAAATGAATGAAACAAATTGTTATTCACGCCAAAACAAATGACATCTACTGAAAACGACGCGAAATGACTGTATCTTTGAAATGAATATAGCCACAGGTGAGCACAATGCGAAATAATACTAGTAAAGCCCTCTCTTAGAAAACCGCACGAATTAATGCATACACCCAATACGTTTCATCGTTTTGGATCCCGAGAACTAGCGACACACAGATGAAGAAGCTACAAGCTCTCCAAAACGCCGCTCTCAGAATCGTGCCAGGTAATCTTCTGATGGCGGCTGAGCATCACTTACACAGCGAAGCACATCTATGCTATGCCATGTTTAACGGGTTTTTTCTACCACAGTTTTTAAAGCATTAATGATTCATTTTGCTCCTCTGACTAGTAGAAATAGAAGTGTATCCATTAACAACTACAAATATGGAACTCCTGGTAACAATTATTGTTGTTGGAACAAAACAAGAAAAAATTTAAGAAAAAAATCAAATGAACCCGCCACATTTAAGTGCGCCGCATTGAAATGGAAAACAGAACAGAATCAAATATGTACATATGTATGTATGTATGTATGTATGAACGTGTAAAACCACAATGCACATTTTGCAACAAATGATGTGGAATCACAACAAGCTAAGTGCATAGCAACGAAAATAACAATAGATACATATGAGAATGAGCGAAGAAAGGGAAAGCTGAGTGAATGCAAACAAAGGAACGGAAAATAAGTGCAGAAAACATTCTGTCGCTGACGCACAAAACTTCAAGAACCTGGCGCCAGCCGCAGTCGCAGGCTCATATTGAAGCCTGAGGGCATTATTAACGAGCGTGACGGAATGACTGTACCGCCGCCACCGAGCCAACACCCAACGAAAGTAAAAATCGCTTAAACATTTACGAAATATGTTTAAAGAAAATGTTAAGGAGAGAGGAGTGGAGTTAAGAGAATAAATGGAAAGTATGACACCCGCTCTTGAAATTTGCCTAAGAAGGATTTTGTTGTGGTGGGTAAGGCAAAAAACAAAAAAATAATGCTTTAAATGCCTTCATGTCGAAATTTGGAACGTGACTTTGGCCTACAGCAGTTTTTGGTAAATATCAAAAATTAATTGACAGGCATTGATGTCATGCATACGAGGGGATTAACGAAAGTTCGGTCTCTAGTAAAAGAGTTGTTTTTTTTTTATTTATTCGTAATCTTTGTCATTTTTTATCTTCTCTAAATAATCGCCATTGATGTCCATGCCTTTCTTCAGCCCGTAGACCTACTTCTGAAAACAGTTTTCAAAATCTTGCCTTTTAAGCTTAACAAGTCCAGCATTAAGCGGATGAATTATCTCCTCGTTGCTATTAAAGACCTTTGCTTTTAAATTTTTTATTTCTTTTTGGAACTAACCAGAAATCACAAGATGCTACGTATGCTGGACGTATTTCTTCCAACCCACAGATCGCCACAAAACTAATCGTTATTTCAGCAATGTGGGAACGACGCGTTGTCATGATGTAAAAAGTAGCGCCGCAAATCCTTTGTCTTCCTGTTTTCCAACAAGTTTTAAAAACTCTTGGTAAGCACTCTTCGGTGTACCATTTTGCAGTTACTGTCTGACCCTGTTCCAGTGGAATATCGCTACGGACGGCATTTAGATCGGGTGAAGTAAACTGACATCATTACTTTTCCAGCTGATTTATGTTGCTCAGATTTTACGGGTGGGTTTGCTCCTGTTGGACTACATACCATGGACTCCTAATTGGTTTCTGGATCGTATTTTTAGAACCAAGATTCGTTAATAATAACGACTTTACTTAAGTTGCTGGACTGACTATTTTCGAATTTGTTTAGGAAAAATTTGAGCAAAATGCACTTGAGCCTTTGGGCCTCATTTGAAATTCGTAATACCCATCTAGCAGATTTCTTTGTGTATCCCAGATAATTAAGCCCAATTCATTAACAATCATTTCTTGTGTCAATCGTGGGTGATCGTCAATTTCGGACTTCACAAAAGCTACAGTTACGTCATCAGTGGAACATTTTGGTTGACTTTCTTGGTGCTCGAACTTTTGTTAATCCCTTCCTATGTACATATGTGTACTTATGTATGTGCGCCATATGAATTTACAAATTAGTTAAATTCTAACTTCCAAGCAATTCATATTATACTCATTACCGACACATGCACACATATACAGATGTATGTTCACTCACAATTTTTATAACGCATTGGCGTATGTAGTCGGCCGTTCCTAACTACGTTCCATACTCTGTAACATATCTGTATACTATTCTTCTTCTTAACTGCTCTGCTATAACCGCGTATGCGGTGCTAAGCCTAAACAATATTAGAGCGTATTCCTCCCTTCTTTGCGTTACTTGGCACCAGTTGAAAATACCAAGTGAAGCCAGGTCCTCCTCCACCAGATACTTCCAACGGAATGAATGTCTTTCTCTTCCTCTATTTCGGATACTGCATCGAACACTGTCAAAGCTGGAGTGCTTTCGACCGGACGACGCTGTTTCTTGACTCCCTGAACTATGTCATTGTCGCCGTATATCTCATACAGCCTATCATTCCATCGACTGCGGTAGGCGCTTTTTCCTAACTCGTACTCGTACTCGTACTTGTCTTTCGAACACTCCGACGGCCGATTCAAAAGATGTTGACATCGTCATCGCTTCTGCGCTTTATAGTAGCACGGAGATGATGACGGACTCGTGAAGTTTGGTTTTCGTTCGTCGAGAGAGGAGTTTACTTTTCAATTGCCTACTCAGTCCAAAGAAGCGCACATCATAAAGAGTCACCCCGTTCAAAACCTTGTTTGGTAGCGAACGGCTGAGAGAGGTCCTTCCCAATGCTGACTGCGATTCTGGCATTGTACGACGTCAATTTACATAGTCGTATAAATGTTGCGAACATATGAAATTCCGATTAACTGGTGTAGGAGCAGATGCATACTGTGCTGCCGAAGACAGCTTTGAAGTCAACGAAAAAGTGATGTGTATCAATTTTTGTTCACGAGTCTTTTCTTAAATTTGGCGCATGGTGAATATCTAATGGCAAGGAGGCAAATCACACCGTATTTGATGCAAACTTTGGGTCCCCGGCTATGCTTGAATAGCTCTGCCGATGGGCCATCAGCTCCAGGTACTTTGTTGTCGTTTAAACGAGCAATCACTATTTTATAGTCGAAACGTCGTTTCCATCACATTCGACTGGGGTTTCGGTATAATCTTCGGGTGTTTAATTTTTACTGCCGTTTGACAGGCTTGGATGAATGTTACCTCCATAAATTTAGTATATTCCGGGTATCAGTCACTACATCGCTTCTCTGGATCTTTTAAGAATTAGCCCCGGTCTTGAAACATTACCTAAGTTGCGTATCTTTTCGCATTTGGGCCTCTTTCTTTTTTTGCCGGCAAATGTGTCTTGCTGCCCTCTTCAGCTCTCGGTATCTGTGATCTCACTCTTTGGTTTTCTATTAAGCGTGCTTTTGCAGGCGAAGTAAAAAGATATGGTGGATTGGTCTCGAGCCTTTGGACCACTGCCAGTAATATTTTGGGGGCTGTTGTAATGGTAGGTAGATTATTACTATAATTTCATATCCTGATGGAATAATAAAACAAGATTGCCAAACATTCCTTTCAATATTAAATCACGATGACTCCTGTCCTTACGTCGTCATTCATTGCGACCTCCCCTCAGCTCATTAACACTAGATCTAAGGACTAGAGACCTTCTGGCGAGCTAATATCTACATGACCGGATGGGATCGTTGCCATATTAGCCGAGGGGTTAGCAGCGCATACTAATGCACAGATAGTCGTGAGAATAAAAAAGCTTCCCATAATAATCCGTCAGACGTTAGGAGTCGTCATGGAACAAACTATAAGTCCCTCCATTCATTGGAAAAATATCGACACGTAGGAGCAGCACATCCTCGACTCTTATTCCTCTTGATTTAAACTCCCTCTTTTGGTGGGTAAAATTGAAAGTTCTTTAGGAGTCGGCAGGATTTATATGAGAAAAATATATAAAATCCTTAACAGTAACGAGGATACCAAATTAATACCCTTCTAACTCGTTACCAACAATCACCTCATTTAATAAAATTCATTTCCACTCACATGATTTAAACTATTACTCTGCTCTCCTTTCAGTTTGGCCGCCGACATATTACAACGCATACCAAACGATATCATAAAACCCACGCAAGCCATCACGGCGATCGTATAACGCGCCGGCAAACAAGGACACTCTGCTTTACAGTATTTATCGACTTTACGTAAGGGCGGGCGCTCGATTTCCTCAAACGAGGCTGGCGAATCGGGTCTATCATCATCATATGGTATGCCACCGCCTGGGCCATCGCCAATCTTCTCACCGTCCTCCATCTCCTCGTAACCACCGTAGCCGCCATGATAGGTTTTGGAGATTTCAAATTTCTCCATATTCGGTTTGATGCTGGAAAGACGGAGAAAAAATTGATCAATTCATGAATAACAAAATATTTCATGGATTTTTTGATTTTTAGAAATACAAAAAATAACTCTACTGAGATTTATTAGGATATTTACATATCTCCCCACAATGATGCAATTTTACTTCCACGTTTTCTGCTCTTCTAATAAAAAAAACTCTCTTTCTCCCACTCTCTTGCGCATTCTTTGTGATTATGACATTCGTTTGTCCACCATTCCCAAAGGTCATATAAATTACATATTAATGGCCAACTATGGTCATACAATGCAGCCGTGAAGCCACAAAAATACCTGTTGATTGGAAGCTTTCAACGTAATTGAGCAATAAAATCTGAGAAATGCGAGAAAATGCACAAACACACACTCGCCACAAGCAATAGCTGCACAGGGCTCTTCAGGATTTTACCAGTAAGAATGTGTGATACCGGCAATCAGCGGTAAATACTGCTCTTACCACCCTCTACCAGCCGAAAACAACAACATCGAGTAGCGACGGCGTTTACTGTTGGTTTGCCACCGAGACTTCAGCGCCAAACGACAAGGCAAACCAAACTCCCAGAGGAGCTGACAGCAGGAGTAGCGAGTAAATAAATACGTGTGTGTGAATTATTTGTTGTTGTAAGACAAGTTGTATACACATCTATTTCGCATTTGTTGAGGTCGCTTAAGGGGGTGGCATTGTAGTTGAATTTCTGCCCTTAACTTCTTTGCTTGTATGTATTTATTGTAGTTTATATTTTAGGTGAGAGTCCAAACATACGTGTCGAATTGAAATAGAATTCAATTTTATTAAGTGCGTATCAATAGCTGAAGATGCGAGGGAGATTTTCTTGTTGTTTTGGTAAATTTTTGAAGGTGTTTTTTTTTTCAGAAAAAACTTTAAGAGCAATGGTAGAGCGCTTAACAAGACGCAAGGCCTGGTAAAGCAACGCGTTTGAAAGTTCTCAACACTCCAAAAAAATGTCCGACATCTTTAAGGAACAAGAAATTTAAAAGCAACCGCACCGGTTTCCGAGCTAAACAAATTCCCAAATACCTAAAGTGGGCATAGGAAATTAAATAAGGTAAGAAGCTTTCCGACAACAGTTATGCTTGAAAATTCTACAAAATTATAAGGCGCCTTATGGAAGACCGGAGCAAACTCTTATAGCACCCAGATCAGGCGACTGATGTCCAGAATGACTGAATTTACGAAGAGAACACTTCTCGAGCTTGCTGCATTGCCGAGAAAGTGTAACAGCAGAAGATGGCGATCCCGATTCCCCAAACGATAATGAAGGTACAGGTGTTACATTGTCTCGACTATGTAAAAATTCGATTAGTAAACCCACGCATGAATAGCCACCCGAGCTATACAAAAATGGCAATGGAAAACTGATAAAATACATGCATCAGCTGCTTTGCGAAATATGTATGCTCTGCCCAATACGCAAAAAGGTGATTCCGAAGTCTGCGCCGAATACCGTAATAATTGGCGCCTTGTAATCGCTGAATCGATTTTCGGACGAGCTTCTCCTCCTCTTACGTGGGATATTTATATATAAATGGAGAGACCTACAGTTTAAACTAAGCCGCCTCCGAACGGCTGCCGGTTTTTTATGAGGAGCTTTATTTCATGTCAGAAATACACTCGGAGGGGTTAACATTCCCTGCCGGGGGGCGACCGCAATTAGAAAATTTAAATTAGCTTTTAATTTTAAATACGATTTCTATACATTTTTTGGATGTTAGGATGACACCAGGACTTGAACCCGAGTCTTCCGTATGACAGTACGCAATGCTTATCACTCCCCTACCGAGGCCGTCGTGGGATAAGCCTCCTTAATATCACATATAAGTGCCTATCGAGCACATTGTGTTAAAAACTAAATCCCACCGTTCATAAACTGATGATCAGCCATTGGCCAGATATTCACCATGTCCCAAAACTTGGTAAAGACCCGTGCAAATATGATCGGCACCCCACCAATTCGCCGATTTTAAAGCAGCCTTAGACAGTACGGTAAGGAGCTGCCTCAAGAGTGTACAACTATTGACGTATGCCGATGATATTGACATTATTGGCATGACCAACCGCGCCTTGAGTACTGCTTTCTTCACAACGGATAAGTCGAAATACATTTTGTCATCAAGCAAACAGTCATTGCATTTGCGACACTTCTCAAACATCCGTTGGGTGCCAATTGAAGACACTTTGTTAAGAAAATTCCATTTCCAGCTGATCTTTTCCTGCTTTCACTAAAGTTAACTGCTTCCTTTATTTTCGGCCTAGAGTAGCCACTGTCTCATAATTCTCTGAAATATGCCAATGTACTGCTCTTATCGGTCTATCGTCTACGTTACTCGCCATTCCCAATGACCAAATCCATAAACCATTCGGGAAACCTTTCTTTGGAAAACTGCAAGCGCCGAATCATCCCATGTCGTCATCGACCACGCTTTTGCACCATATACAACGATGGTAATCGAGTTGTAGAGCGTGGTATTTATTAGTAGAAATAGGACTTACTTACTCAGTCCAAAGTAGCACCAGTTGGAAAGAATTCGATTTGAAGGCCGACATTGCTTTTGCGCTGATCCCGATTTCAATATAGACGAAGTTATCTACGACTCCAAAGTTATGACTATCATAAGGCACATAGGAACTAAGAGGTGATTGCGCTGACTTTTTGCTCGTCTTCGCCTCTTTCACTATCAGATCCATTCGCTTCGTTTCCTTTTTTTAGTCAGGAGAAAGTAAACGTCTGGAGGCACCCTTTATTATTCCTAGATATTTTTCAATAGCTTTCCGTTTCTTCACATCTCACCACTTTCAACACGAAACTCTCAAAAATGAAATCAATTAACCAAACAAAAGATTGTTGTCATAACAGCAATACAACAACATCACAACCACCAAATAATCTTGTTTTTCACCGCCATTTGAAGTGCTTCAATTGGCTGCTGTGCCAATTATTTGGGTATTTACGAGTAAAAGGCATAAGTCGTAAATGGTTGTTAGGGCAAAAAAAAAGCAAAAATATTCCATAAAAAAGATTCTTGAAAAACAAATTGAATACCTTTGCTGGTAATAAATTGGCCGAATGAAGCCTTACTAATTGCCTAGAAAAATGTGTAAAGGTGACCAGAAACAAAACTTATTTTAGTAGGCATAGAAGAAAAGAGAAATTTATTTATTCAACATCCAAAAAAAAATACAAAAATTTGTGCACACGAAGACACATTGGAGGAATATGCCGAATAATATTGTCATACATTTCATTGTCATACATACATACATACGTATGTTGTATAAGCTGAAGCTTGCTTATATCTGTGAATGTTCATGTACTCGTGCTTAAGCCACTAATCAACCCACTTACACAGCTCCACAAGCCACTGGTCGGCCAACTTTTGCTGCTTAAATGCCACAATTGACCGAATTTTCTTTAAAGAATATTCTATGTTTCCTATTTTTCTACGCTTTGCTTCCTCGTATTGCATCCACTCTGCACAAATATTTGTCTGTTGTCTCATAATTCAAATATCTGTCATATTTCTCTGGCACTCAATTACACTCACACACACAAAAATACTAGTTTGCTTGCCCCTTAATATCCTCAATTTTGTAATTCCAAGTAGTTCGTTTGCCATGTCCTGACAGTCAGTTATTTCTTTTTACATACATACATACGAACATGACTTCTTTTTAGCAAGTTTTATTGTAATTTGTTTTCTTCTCAATCACTATAAATTTCATATATTTATGCCTGTATTATAAGCTTAAATGCATGTACTCGTATGTATATATATATGAGTGAAGCGTTATTTAGTTGCCCTTTAATGTCAGCCAGTTTGTCTGACGCCAATTTTATCTTCATTTCTCCACTAAAAATATCTTTGAATGATTGTTATTTTCGCATTTCTTGCATTTTCTTTTGGATTGTTTTTTTTTCGCTTTTATTATGGGCGCATATCCTTGTCGCTACAGTAAAAATTTTGTAGACTTTTAGGCGTCCCATAGATTAAAACGAATGGCGCCAGCCAGCTTTGTACAATAGATGTTTTGGCATCCGTACGCGAATGGGGTTGTCTTTCGCCAGGGAAGTAGTGGAGAAAGTGAAATTTTAGTGCTGTTTGATTTCGGGGGGGGGAGTCATATTTTTTTTTTTTTTTTTTTTAAGTGATTGGAAGACTACATTTATACTCACAAACTCATTCAAAGTGTTATGCTATGCAGTGAGTTTATAGTTTCGATTAGATCTGTATCGGAATCGCTACGATTGATTGATTACCGCGAAGTGTAGGCCCCTATTTAATGCCAACAATGAGGCTGCATTTCAAATTTTAGGTAAAATTTTAAGATTGAATGTTATGTCAAGCCAGTTGTTGGCGGTGAAGATCTCTCATTCAAGGACTTACAGATTTAATAGTATATTGAGCGCTTGTTCAGGACCACAGGACATCACATTTTATTGAATTTGTCTCGGTGGTTTGTGCCATATTGTGTTTGTTTGAGGTCAACTCTTTCATGCAGAGTATACCACAAGTATGGTATATGCGGAAGGATTCGGTTCAATTATACTATTATAACTAGTTTGGGGAAAACAGCATACAGCACTTAATTGATTAATATGTAGGCAGGGTAAGAAACTTCCCACAAGTGTCTAATAATTCCAGGTAATGAGCTTATGTTTCCAGAAAGTATTAGAAAAGATAAAGTACTTGGATTAAAACCAATTTAGGACTATGAAGGGACTTTGGAAACGTTTCCAATATTTTGCTGAAATAATATTTCATTGACTTAGGTGCCAAAAATATATATTATTGTGGTAATAGGGAAAAAAGTGTCATTTCCTTCTTTAAATTAAGGAGTAATTATATCAATGATCCTTACATTTTCAAATCACTCTTTACTTCACTTGTTAGGTGCACTTTGGTATATGGTTCAATTGTATGAATAAATTAGGTTTTTTTAAAATCCAGGTACCTATTATCTGCCAT